TTCTTTCTTTTATAGTTCATGCTTTTCATATCCTAAGAAATCTTTGTCTATTCAAGGTCACAAAGATTTTTTTTAAAACTCCCCAAGTGAGTCTCATGCACAGGCAAAGTTGAGAACTACTGGTCTATTGGGAATCTGACCTAGCTTTCTCAATTTAACTTGACATTCTGCCATAGAACCTTAGGGTAATAGAGGTAAAACAGGGGTACAGTTAACTGAAATAATGTAAAAACAAGGATGCAATTGAGAGTCTCAGGACTGTATGAACTGACCGGCTTCCAAGCCTAAGTGTGAGCAGCTGTTAGAGCCTAGAAATAGTGAGTTGAAAAGCAATGTCAGAGGTACTTGTGGTGTGTTCCAACTAAACGAAAGGAGAAAGAGAGAACAGGATTGTCCTCTCCCCTGTGGGAAAAAGCACACCCAAGTTTATTTCAGTTTAAACTGAAAAAGTAGGAAAGATTATTTCTATTCTTAGTGGGATTCTTTAGAATATGCCTCTTACAGAGATGACATGGAGCTGGGAGTCAGACTTGTCAGTGTTTGGCCCCTGTTTCTGAAGCCACTGCATTAAACAAATGAAGTTGGCAGCAATAATATTTGCCCAAACCTTGGTTCCAACAGAGGTTAGACAGACTGAGCTTTCATTACATGAAAGGAGATGTCAGGAGCACCAATGGGCTCAATTTCCCCTGGAGTCCTAGACAAAGTGGGTCTGTTTCTAAGCTGTGGACAGGAGGCTACTTTCTCTAGATGTTATATTTAGCTAAAGGAATCTCCACCACGGCTTCATGCAAGATGTGAAATATGTCCCAGCAGACATAACCACAAACCAGAGGGCCAGCAGGGAGCATCCCTCAAGGGGGTTCAGCAGCACAGAGGGGCCAATTGTGCAGCCACCCCAATATCCCCAGATTAGCTGAATTAGCTGTGAGCCAGATTTTTGGCCAGTTCTCACATTTAATAAGTCTTTGTTTCTCTCTTACTAGAGATTCTGCCCCTGGGGAGAAAAACATGCTGCCCTATTTCATTCCCAACTTCCAGCTGCTTGCCCAGACACCAGGTAGGAGAAACAACCCAATGTTGATGTTTAACACCTCCATACCCTTTGAAGGTTTGTGTGCAAGAGAAAAGGTTAGGTTAATTCTGTAACTGAGCGAAATATCTGGATTCAGTAGAAAAGAGTAAGAAAATGTGGAATACCCTCTACTCTGCACACCATGCCTACAGAGTCCTAACAGAACATGTAGATGGAAACCTCGGGTTCTAGAACCAGATGACCAGATTTAAATACTAGCCTCACCTGTTTTTTGCTTAATCTCTCTAAGCCTCAGTTTCCTCCTTCATAAAACAGGGATAATAATAGCAACTACCTTATAGAATTATTGTTGGGATTAAACAAAATAATGCATATAAAGTATTTAACACCGTATCTGGCACATAAGCATTCAAAAATATTAGTTTTGACTATCATAACCCTTGCCAGTGAATCATTAAGTTCTATAGATTTAAAAAAAAAGAATTAAAAAAGGAAGAAAACCCATGACTTTTGCCAGCGACAGATTCAAATTCACACGAGCTCAAGTAAATTTTCATAGGTGTTTACAGCTGAACCAGAAATAAAGGTATCTTTTCTGAAGTCTGTGTCTCCAGAGAAATGTGGATTTTCCTTTTGCTGTTGGAACCAAATTTAGAGGTAAAATAAAAGGTATATCTGGTTTATACATTTGGATTCCAGTTTGGCGTTTCTTGGTTGCTGGCCATTATAGATAACAGAATCTAAAAAAATGCTTCATTCCTCAAGAAATTTGGTCTTCAATTGCTTAAGCTGGCCCCCTCTCCAAACCCATACCCACTTTTGTTTGTCCTTGTCTCGAGGACTGCAATTTATCTATCACAATTTCACAAAGGTCACCCAAAAACCAGAAGGAAGCCCCCAGTGTAAGATACCCTTGTCATCAAAGAATTACAGTATACTAGATTTCAAAGGCAGCATGGAAATCATATAGCCCATACACTTTTTTTAAACTTCATGGAACTGAGGCACAGAAAGGAGAAGTAACTGTCCAAGGCTTCAGAGGTACTGGCAGAGCTGAGACCAAGAGAAAGGGTTACTTGAAAAAGGCCTCTGCTCCGAAAGCAGAAAGCAAACTCCGGGAAGCTTTGCATAACTGACAGGGTGGCCAGGTACATTCCTTAGATATCTTATCTGATTACTATAACTTAACCAGTGGGATTCTAATTCTTCATGTACAACACACTCTAAACAAGAGATGGAAAAACTGAGGTCTGGAGAGAGAACGCTTCTTCGCCCATTAATAGAAAGCAGAGCGGCGCTCACCCAGCCAAAACAGGATTAATCTACTCTTATGGTCAGCCCAGCCAGCTTCTACCTTAGAGTCCTCTGCCTTCATTGGACCCCAAGGGAGAGAGAAAAGAGACTATGCACCCTGTGGGACAGTAGACATTGGCTATCCAACAATCCTATGCATATCTCTAATCAATATTTTAATTGATTATAAAGTTACAAAGTTAAAGAGAAAATGTTGTAAAGGTCAAGGAAAAGTCCTATGATCTGCAACTATATACAACAATATGAATAAATCTCACAAACATAATGTTGAATGAGAGAAACCAGACACAAAAGAATACATACTGTATGATTCTATTTATATAAAGTAGGAAACCAAGCAAAACTAGTCTCTGCTGTTAAAAGTCAGGACAGTTGTTATCCTTAGGAGTTGGGACCACCCCTCCCAACCCCCCGATGACTAGAAGGGAGCATGAGAGGGGCTTCTGGAGTATTTAAATATTCTGTTTCTTAATCTGGGAGCTGGTTACCAGGTGTGCTCAGTGTGTAGAAATGCATTTAGCTGTAAGCCTACAATATGTGTACGTTTCTTCAATGAAATGTAATATATAAACAGTCCTGTGAGTAATCAGAAATTCTTCCTTATACTCCCAGCATAGAAGTGCACGGCTTAAGGAGGTCAACCCTGAGACCAGGACCAGGAATATCAATCACGGGTAGATTTTCCTTCTGGAGGGGGCAAATGCTCCATGCCTTGTATACATGCCTTGCATTTAGGCCTTCAGTGAAATGCGAATGGCACTTGAGGAATCAGGAACACTTGTGGCTTTGGTAACTGGCTGCCTTCAGCATGAACATCTCTGAGATCTGGAGGGGCTATAAGACTCTCTCAGCTTGGTTCTTCTCTAACCTTCTAAAGCTAGGAGAAAAGGGGGCTGAGAGATTGGGTGAAGTCTAGATAGCTGAACATCTCTCATTAAATTTTTTTCTCAGATGAACAGAGAAATGGAGGAGGAAACCATCAGCCAACCCCTTTCCCTCTTGAGATAGTCTAAGGGACTGTCAAGGTTACAGAAAAGAGCTAAGTGGTGTCTGATTGCTGTCAAACTTCCACCTAAGTAGGTTTTTAAATAAAAATTGTATATATTTAAGGTATACAACATGATCTGATATACGTACATATACAAAGCGAAATGATTACTGCAGTCAAGCTAATTAACATATTATCTCCTCACATAGTTACCTTTTTTGTGTGTGTGCAAAGAGCACCTGAAATCTACTGTCTTAGCTATTTCCAATATTCAATATAGTAATATTAACTACAGTCATTAATTTTAGTCACATACACACGTCACCAAGTGTTGCAGAATAATTCAAAGTAATGACAAGCAAGCTAGAGCAGATGCTGGAAACCATGAGATGGTGACAAGTACCCTCATCCCTAACTGAAGAATGGCCCCAACCACAGCACAGCCGGGCCACTAAAAATAGCCAGTGAGCTCTGGGAGGAGTTATCTTTCTCTCTCTTCTTTTCATTGTCAGATGACTATACCCTTAATATCCTGTCTCTAAGACACAGGGAAAGCCCCTTCACAGATGCACTTATGTAGATGGAAGATTCCAAACCAGTTCTTTTTTCATGCTGGTATAAACAGAAGAAATTGGGTTCTAACTCCAGACCTACTGAGATCTGTCTGGAAAGCTTCCTAAGGTTAAGAATTGGAAAACTAACCAAGAGCTATGGCTATTATCAACCACAGTCCTGTTTACTGAAGTCCTTTCTCTCCCAATCTCAAATTTTAACACTGGATCTTGTCAATTGGAAACCAATGAATTCCCTATATATGAAACCAATGAAATAGCCCTATATATGCTCTTTATACCGATTGTGGGAAGATTATTTGCCTTCTGAAAAGTTTTCTGGGGATGTTAGAGCTTGAATATTAGACATGGCATATCATGTACAATGTTGGGGCTTTTGCCACCATTTGTAACCAAAACTCATGAATAAATGACTCCATTGAGAGCTCAGGTTGAGACAGCTTAGAAAACAGGTTCCTGAGTTTCCAAGAGGCTAGTTTCACTAGTGACAGGTATGGTGAATTTGGTACAAATTTCTTAAGATTATCACAATTAATTTTGAATTTTTCCTTGGTCAAATTTTTCAACTTACACCCAAGGAATGGTGGCAAACAACTGAGCTTCAGAAAGCACTCAGGGACCCAAAGACAAAGGTACGCTGTGATAAGAATAACCAAATTCATGAGTTCACCTAGGCAAAGATGAGAACTTGGAAAGAGAACTAAACCAAAAACATAAAGATACATGAACTTGGTAAATGAACTGGAAGAGGAAAACATGAAACAACACTGAAGGTCCCCAAATCTAAACAGATTCACAAATCACTGAAGGATATCGACCAAACACGGTCATTATTAATGTACACAGATTATGAATTACACTGCCAGTCCTGGAGTTGTATCTTGCAAATGGTTACCTTCCTGGGGCTACTATTAATTCAGCTCAGAAAGGAAGAAAAGAACGCCAATTCAATATTTTTTCTCCATGAGTACATGGTAGGGAATGACCAATGGAAAGCCTTTTAAGTATGCCAATAAGATATTCTTTCTCTTATTTACAAGATTGTGTCACTGCTCCACTGAAGTGTCTCTGTGACTAGAAGATGCTTTACCTTTTTAAAGAGTCTTCCTGAGTCCTCGCTGACTTGGACAAATCGAGGAATGATATTATTCAGGTAGATGTCACTCAGAGTGGTGTGGTCCCTGCTCTCCCGCTTCACTTGGTTTAAGAGGAGATTCCAGCAGTTGACTGGAGAGAGAACATTCTGATCCTTCCTGCAGAGAAACAGCAAGAAAAAGAAAATCAATGTTGTTAACCAGCCAGGGCCAACATCTATGACTACTGTCCATGTCATAAAATCATAGCAATCAAAGCCAAACCAGAAATAACGGTATCTTTCCTAAAGCCTGAACCTCTAGTTTTCTCTTTTTCTAAAAACTCACTGGAGAAAATAAGAATAATGAGGAGAGGAAGGGGGGAGGGAGAGGGAAGGAGAAAAAGCAAGATTATCTGTAGAGCATGTACTACGTTCTAGGAACCTGGTGAAGGCTTTATAGGCATTATCTCATCTAAGCTCCATCATTTCATTGTAGGAAAAGAACTATTATCCCCATTTTACTGATTAGAAAACTGAAACTCAGGTTGTCATTTACCCACAACTAGTAAAGAGGAGTCACAGAACAGTAAGAGGGAGTCAGGGACTAGAACCACAGTCTTGCGTTGTCTGAACAGAACAGGTTAAGGCTGCCCAACTCCAAAGTCCGTCACCTTAGCCACTAAGTCACTTGGTTTGTGCCTAGGGTTAGGGACAAAAGTTAGAGATTTTGTCTAGAGAGAAAATCACGAGAGCACTACAGACTAAATCCCCACACACTTATCTTCTGTAGGATTCAATGAAGACTACCTTGGAGGCATCTGCCATCAAAAAGTCGCTAAAAACTCTTCGGTCTCACAGAACATATCTATGGAGGTTTTGATTTCATTGATTGAGCCATCATCTCATGTCCCACACAACCAACAGCACAAATCACATCTGAACACATGTATTCCTGAAACTTCTACAGCCTGAATGGAGCAGTGAAGTGCCAAACATAGATGCTCATTTCTAATGAAAACATTGTGATCCAGAAGAATTATTATTATTGTACTTAGTTCACAGCACTAATTTAAGTAACAGAAAGTTCTGCATCTGCAAGTTGGATTCCTTTAAGGAGAGAAACAGAAAGTAGTGGTTGTCTGTGATACTATTAATCAGGGTTTACCGTGCACTTGGCACACACCTGGGCCCTATACTCATGTTGCTTAACTTGAACCCTACAACAACCTGATGAAGTGAGTGTTATTTAACACATTCAGCAGATGAGGAAAGCTGAACTAAGCAAGGTTAAATATCTTGTTCAAGGTCACATAGCTAAAAAGTGGCAATGCTGGAATTCAAAACCAAGCCTTGTGGGCCGGCCCTGTGGCTTGGAGGTTGAGTGCATGAGCTCCGCTACTGGCAGCCCGGGGTTCCGATCCTGGGCACGCACCCACGCACCGCTTCTCCAGCCATGCTGAGGCGGCGTCCCACAAACAGCAACTGGAAGGATGTACAGCTATTTCCACTGGGGCTTTGGGGAGAAAAAGGGAAAAAAAGGAGGAGGATTGGCAATAGATGTTAGCTCAGAGCCGGTCTTCCTCAGCAAAAAGAGGAGGATTGGCATGGATGTTAGCTCAGGGCTCATCTTCCTCACAAAAAAAAAAACAAAACAAAACACCAAGCCTTGTAATTGCAAAGAGAATGCTCTTAATCACTACAAAGAAGCAAAACCTGTTCATTCCCCTTTCCTCCCTTCCCTCCCTACAGTCAGACTCTTAATGCAAAGAAAGTGAGTTGAGGGGCCGGCCCATGGCATAGTGGTTAAGTGCGTGCGCTCCGCTGCTGGCGGCCCGGGTTCAGATCCCTGGCGCGCACCGACACATTACATGTCAGGCCGTGCTGTGGCAGCGTCCCATATAAAGTGGAGGAAGATGGGCACAGATGTTAGCCCAGGGCCAGTCTTCCTCAGCAAAAAGAGGAGGATCGGCATGGATGTTAGCTGAGGGCTGATCTTCCTCACACACACAAAAATACTAACATTAAAAAAAAAACAAGAAAGTGAGCTGAGAGCAGCTTGGTTCTTGAGTCAGCACTGCCTTCGTTCAGGGCTGGAGGCTGCCAGGCACTTGTGATTTGTAGAGCATGCAATTCAAGTTATAAGGGCTTTTCCAATTCTGTAGTAAGGTAACTATTAACAATCACATCACACCTCCTCTGGCTTCAGAACACACCAGACCATTAAATCTAATACTTGTCTAACTAGCACCAAGAAATTTCTTCAAAACAGTGAATGTTAGAGTCCAAATTGAAACTGTTCTATACCCGCCCCCCACCCCAACCCCCTGCCCCAGGCATCACAGTTCTGTAGTCAAAATTCCTAACACTTATGTGCCGACCACTGTGGTAACATTATGTCACTTACATTTCTAGGGAAAGTAAAAGATTTCTATGGAAATAAAAAATATACACTAGCCGAGAAAGAGAGATACATGTAATTAATCCACTTCTTTCAAAACATTTAGCATCTGAAAAAAAAAAGTGAATAGGAAACAATCCTAAACTCAAAATGGTGAGTTGAGCACATGCATTCAGTGACATCTGATGTTTCCCCTGCAAGAAAACTTTCAAAGAGATTCCAAATGACTTTGTTACAAAATCCTATGTAATCTAATTTACATTTTTATTGGGTAGCAAGATATCCATGTCCTCAGTAAGCATGGAATATATCAGGCAATTATATTTGCCTTGTAAAAGGGCAGATCTCCCAAGACCTTAACTTGACAACTGGTTTCAATCTGCTTCTTACGGGTGAACATGGGTTGATGGCCTCTATTAGTTCTTTTCCTATAGTGCTTTACACACATAAAAACAATACCACAATTCTATTTCACAAACGTATAAACATTTCTATCTTAAATGAACAAAGTGCAGTATTAGGGGCTTCAGTGGTTATAGAAGTGCTGATGTCACAGGGGACAAAGGAAGACTCTAATGTAACAGAACGTGAGAGGTAGGAAGGAAGGGCCAGCTAGCTCACGAATGCACACCACAAATCACAAGAGTAGGAGGAGAGACACAACCAATCTGACACCACGGAAGAGGATGCAGAGCAAAAATCCCAAGGGGACCCTCAGAAGAAAGGATGAGTAAGCAAAGATGAGGTAGTAAAAAGGATGGGCAAAAGTGGGAATCTTGTAAAATAAAATGCCTATCACTTAACACTAATAAATTTATATTTATTAAGAACTTCTAAGTTGCTACAAGTATTTTTATCACATGTATTTATTTCCATCCTTACAGCATGTCATGGGACAGCTATTATTGGTTTTAGTGAGCAGAAGCTTTTAAAGTGAGTTCTGAGAAACTCTGGAATTACAGAGAATCACATTTCAATTTTCAACAATATAACACATTCATTCAAATGAGCAACCCCCATTTAAATGTGCAAGAGACCCAGGCCCCAGTTTCCCTGCAGCAGACACCATCATAATGTCTCATGGGCTGCAGGGTGAGCTTCAGTGTATGCAAGCTTTGGAATGAAAAATCAAGGCATGTATCTGAACTTCTGAAAAATGTGCTGTTGGTTAGAACGGATGTTGCTCTTCACAGGTTTAGTTTTTAATTCAAGCCTGTGTGCCTCCTTGGGTAAAGCTGTTCAGGTGAGCACATAACTTGACACACAGTGGCCAAGTTCAACTGCACGCCACAGAAGGCTCAGGGGCCTGTGCTGGGTTCCTGGTGGACCATGGCTGGGTAGTGAGAATGCACATGCTCAATATTGTCCCATCTCATTATCAATTGTTGTAATGCTTATTATACATTTTTGGGCTTATCCAATTAATATTTATGAAGGGGAATGGGAATAGCTGCTAGGTAATGTTAGTGATTCAATTTTAAAACAAAAATACCCTTCAAGTGTCTATCAATTTAAAACTATCTCAAGATTACAACAATTCAACTGTTTGAATCAGGCTTTTTTTGATATTGGGCAACATAAACCAGAACCAGAAATAACTTGGATGCTGAAACTGATATAAAACTGCACCTCGGGTTCATAATCCCGATTTTAGTACTGTGAGATCATAAACACAGCCTCATTGTTCTCACTGATTGACTCTGTAATAAGTACTCTTTATAAATTTGCACTTTAAAAGTAGATTTACACCAGTAAAACACTGCTTTTATCTGTTGCATCTATGGGGGTTCTATGCAAGATTTGTATTTTAAAAAAGGAGTCTATGGCTTTAAAAAATAGTATTAGATTCTGTTGTCTGTTTCTTCTAGGGGTTCCACTCTCTTACTATTACTGCAGCTTTTCATATAATATTTTTGGTTCTTTGAGAATGTATGCTTTCTCAGACATATTCCTCCTTTCAACTGAGATGTTTTAATTAATTCATTTCTTTATTCTGCTGTAGTATTTTGCCAGGAGAGGGGAAGGGCATGTGGTAGGAGAGGACACAAGTATACTGCAGAGACAATTTTCCCAGCCAACACGAACAAAGATGAAACACACTTCAGGCTGGAAAATAAGCAAGTCAACGAGACGTGATTTCATAGGAGCGCACTGAGGTCCTGCAAGAGTGGTTTCCTGCTTCAGCAGTGCTGCAGCCTTATTTTATTTGGGGCTGCTAGAGCCAAGGGAACTTCGTTTGGTTAGGAGACTGAAATTTGTCTTTCTATCTTTTCCATCTATCATTTGTTTGTACAGCTTCTTTACTTCCCGCCTCCGGAGCCTCAGGTTGTGTAACACTTGGGCATTTAAAGAAAAGGGTCTGCATCCCTTAGGAATGTGCTGAACAGCTGCAAACCTCCTCAAACACTAATCCCTAAAAAGCAGACAAAATATCCAGAAGTATTTTTCTTACTTAAAAAAATTTTCAGGAGGAAGATCAAGAAAACATAATCCTGTACTTGAGAGGGAATGACTCTGCAGTCAAAAAAAAAGGAGGTCCAGAAAGTCACAAGCCGGCTACGCATCCACAGAAGAGATTTTCATTATAAATATATGGAAGGAGATAAACCTGCAGGACTGAATCGTTAGCTTCAGATACATTAGCCAAGCTTCTCTCCTTCAACTTGGACTACTTGTAGACGGTCAACAAAACAAGCAACAAACGCTCAGAGGGAATTCTTTACGATATCTGCGACAAAGAGCTAACTCCATAAAGGCCCACGTTGGCCTCTACGTTACAC